GAAAGAATAAAAATTTACAGAAACGATTTGACTGACAACAATTTTGTCAGGTACGCTACGCCTTAAAAGTGTTTTTGTTTTGTTACTCCCTCTCACAATATTTTAAAATGTTAGTTAATATTGCAGTACATATTTGTGTAGTAAAGAGATTTTTTTTTTTTTCAAATTAGATAAATATACAGTACTTGAATTTTGAATTAATACACGTTTGAGGAAAGGATGCAATAGTAGATTCCAGTTATAAGATTATAAATTAAATTTCCAATGGTAAGTCGTAGGGTTGCCAGATTTTCTACGCGCGAAATCAGTACATTAGACTTTTTCATGCTAAAAAAAAACCAGTACTTTTCAGTACATTTTTATTCAAATCAAAATTATGAATGTAAGTATTAGATAATACGCCAGAGTAGTTTTTTTTTAACAATATTTTGGTATATAAATAAAATATAGTTCATAAGATAAGTGTTATTCATTTTAACGTGAGTGTACACATCATTATATTTATGACATTTTTTGAATAGTGGGGTTGTGGGTTAAAACAGAAAAATACTTGGAGTTATAAAAACCTTGGTTATGTAAGAGTTAAAAAAAAATAGTAACACGCGAATTTTCTGCTTTCTGAAATTAAAAAATTTGACATTTGGAGAAGTGTTAGAAGTGTTGCTGAAACTTCTAAAAGACAACAAGGTGTCAGTGATTATGTGATTAGTAAATTGAAAGAAATATCTGATGAAAATGCTCGTTCCGAAGTAAATTAAGTAAATGACTTTAGATTCGTAATCAGCGACCCAGAAACCTCCAGATACCCAGTTTCATAGAAATCTACCGATTTTTTTTATTTTCGTCCGCCATATTGGATCCGCCATTTTGAATTTTTGATAAGTGACTTCAGATTCGTAATCAGCGACCCAAAAATCCCCTAGGTAAGAAGTGGTGTAAAGTTCCCTCAACGAGTACTATTTGTTTAAATAGTTTCGTCTAGCTAGATTTACGATCCGAACCACTGTGCGCCCCTCATCACATATTAATTATATTAAATAATTCTGGAATACCTCAAAATCAACAATTATTTTTTTTTTTAATACCACCGCCAACATTCGCAAGAAGGTCAAAAAATGGCGTTTTTGTTTTGGCGTTAACTATTCACAGACAGGCGCCGCACAGTGTAAGATTTGACCCATCTAGCTGCTTTTAATTCTGTAATTCGAAATCTATTGAAGATAGATGAATGAAATTTTGCCCAAGGTACGTTATAAGATAGGCGAAGCTTTTTACAAAAAATTGGTAATTTATAGTTACTGTCATGCCACCCTATTATATAACTGCAAATTTTAAAAAAATGCGAAAACTGAAATATTTAACTAACTACAAAGGCTAAAATGCCCAAAATTGATATTTAGAATTTCCCTATAACAAGAAATTATAAACTGACAGAAATGGACTTAAAATAAATATATATTTTTTTTTAATTATGGGAGTGGAAAATATCGATAAAAAAGTCAAGTTGGGTCAACAAAATTCCGTTATATGTTCAATATTTCTTACTCTATTTACAAAAATGGGATACCATTGGAAAGGTAATGAACCAGGCTTTCTCTATTCAAAACGAAAATATAAGAATTTGTCTCGGTCGAGATAAAATGCAAATGAATTACTCGAAGAAAATGAAATTCCCAGTAGGCCAGAAAAAAGAAAATTTCATCAAAACCTGCACTTTCCTGCAGCTAAAATTATGTTGTTTAAAGTCTAAGAGGAGTGGCAAATAAACTGAGATACAAACCTTATCGAATAGTGGCGGATAACAAATGAAATTAATAAATTGCTAAAAATAAATTTAAGCTAACATCGTTTTACTTTAACATGGAATACTCAGTCCTAGTTTACTAAAATCCCAAAAATGTATATTCATTAAAAAGAACATACCCAAGCAAATAAGACCAAAATGGTATTTTAGTAATTGTTGCATAAATCACATAACACCGACAAAATAAACATTGAGATTCAGTTTCAAATATAAAAGTTTAAATATTATTGTGCTCGGTAATTTTCCAAATCAAACCCCGTCCCGCCATACACTTTGATTAAAATTGTTTACTTGTTATTGTTTCGTATTTATCAGGCATTTCTAAAAACATTCTTGACGTTGTTTTCAAATTTGGTGACACAAAATAATGGAATTAATCTTTTCTAGAATATGGAAATGATACACAGTGCGCCGGTAGTCGCGTAATAGAAATTTCTTCATTAATATTTATGTACTTATTTTTTATTCGCCCTTTTATTTCTCATTAATATCAAACTACAATGCTACGCTCGTAAATGTTTAATTATATAACACCATACATTTATTGATTGCTTCAAAGAAAATACCGCAATGGCCTCCCATTTGGTTTAATCACTCTCAATTGCAGCTCAGTTTCTTCTCTTGCCTCTCGCCACTCGTAGTCTGTTGCTATCCGCACCATTTGTATCCCCTACGGGCTTCGTAATTGTATTGTACCACTCGTTCACATGTTGCGTTACTATTTCAACCAGCCTACCTACTTTACTCTTCATTGTTCTCAGATATGCGTTCGGCTTGCCTTTGTGCTTTTCCTCGTCCGTTTGTAATCTACGTGGCGCCTTTCGCTCGTATCCCATCAGCTGTTCGGGCGCTGTGCTACCCAAAGGCTCCAGGTCCTCATCCTTGGTGATCATATTCGAAATCCAATCATCTTCGGACAACCGATTACGCAATGCACGTGGCGAACGTCGCTTACGCAGTGAGCTCAAATTCCACCAAGGCGCTTCTGTGGTCGGCTCACCAATCTTTGCATCGATATCGCCCTCTGCGCCGCGCTCATTGAAGTAGTTCTCCAAGTTCTCCGCCAAGTAGTCAATGTACTTGGTGCGTAACGATTTGATTTTTTCCAGCATTTCATCCTCACTTTCCGCATTTGTTTCGATAATTTTATCATTTGTGTGTTCTACCTTTGCCTTTTCTTCATTCTCGTGCAGGAAAGAGCGCGCAAGTTCTTCTTGGGCGAGCAGAAAGTCTTCTGCCAATTGACCGCCAGTTTGGAATTGCGTTGCACCGACCTTCTCAACATCGGCATCAGCATCTTTGCTTACTGAAGCTTCATCAAGGGTGTTGGTTTTTGTTTCCTTTTTTGAAAAAGGCTCGGGAAATAATAACGCATTCCAGTTGTTGCCCTTTGTGCGTTTCATTTGATCATCGATTGGTGTCGGGAGTGCCTCGTAGAACTCGGTTGGTAGGAGGCGCAATGGTTTCATTTCGTTTCTAGTTTCTTTTCGATTTTTCCGCTGTACTTTCTCCACTTCCAACTTTCTCTTTCCACGTTCAATGGAGTCTTCCACCTCTTCGCCGTCAACAGTGGCTATATGTTTCAAATGCACATCGCCCTCGGGTACGCGTGGCAGCTCAGGTTCACTTTGTTCGCCCATTTTCTTAAAAAACTCTTCCTCATTGAAATTTTCTGGGTCGT